TGGTGGTGGTGGTGGTGGTGGTGGTGGTGGTGGTGGTGGTGGTGGTGAAGATGCGGATGATGGTATTGGTTGACGAGGCGTCGGGGGTGTCCTTGTCGGTGGCGAGAGTTGACGATAGGGTGGCCATCACCACCGTCGCGGGGTTTGCGGCAGGGGTGATGGGGTTGGCGATGATCTACGGCGGCGAGGCATCGTCGTCCGGACACCGTTGGGTTTAGTACAGGCATCACGATTGATGTGGTCGTGTGGGCGGCATCTGGGGTTTTTGGGTCGTTTTTGCACCGGGTCCCGAGATGTCCGACGAGATCAATCCGCGCGCGAAAGTTCGTTGGCTGTGTGAGCATGTTGGAAGGAGTTGGCTTTTTGCGTTGTGGATGGGGGGACGCTATGCCGTTGTCTTTATAACTTACTGCTCTCGTCTTCACAGCTTTCCGCCTGGCCTGTCGGTCCTGTACGAGGTTCTCTCAGGTCTTCTGATTGATTTATTAACGCTTCAAAGAATTCTTTGGGGTGTCCTTATAGCGGCGTTTTTAACCTCCTCCTCGGCTTACCGCTTCAGAACCCGCGATTCCTGCGTTCCGTCGGATCTGAGAAACGGAGTAGTTTTTCGACTGTGAAGCCGTAGGTCGCTTTGACTGAAGCGATGAAGTCCTTTTTTCATTGCGGTCCGCATAGTCCTGGATGTTCTTGGTCTTGCGTGTCGTCTAGGCATCCTGTATCTCCCGTAGCCGATGTTGAACAAGACGAAGACATCTGAAGAAGGTGGCTTTGCTTGCATCGGTCCGGCCTGTCCATTGCGGCGAACAGATTGCTAATATCTGCGTTGTTGTCGTCTAACCATTATTGAAATTGAGGATGTGCGCTTCCTAGGACGTTCAGGGCAGTGGAAATGATGGCATTTCGCAGTTGACACCACCGACTCTCAACGAAGGCGTTTTCATCTGGTCAATTGATTTCTGAAATCAAAATGGTGAGCAGGCAGATTTAACAGAAGAGTGTTTGACTTATCTGATGGTCGCTTACCTTGTGGTCTCCTGCGGGGTTACAGTCTGAGCCCCATTTTGAAGATTACGAGGCGGTGATCGGTACGGCCGTCTGTGCCCCTGATTTCCTTCGTCCTCAGCACGTCCTGTCGATTTCGCCGCTGGAAGAGGACATATTTCAGCAGCTGCCAACGCCGCGAGTGGAGGTGCATCCAGGTTGCCTTCCCCGATGTCCGAGGGCGGAGGAGGGCGTTGGTCAGGAGAAGGCGGTGACCTCCGTTTACTCGCCGAATGAGGAGACTTTTATCCCTATAGTCGCTGATTCCGCGGAGACACAGCACTACCCTCCAGGCAGCGTAGCCTGTTCTGACGCGGGCATTGAAATTACCAATGACAGTCATATTTTCCGCCTTCGGCACAGTCGCCAGTAGATCGAGCAGGTCCCCGTAGAATCTGTTCCTCGCCCTGCCTGAGCTGATCATTGGGGCAAATAGGCACTTATGATGGTGGCGAATTGGGCTCCCCGAAGAGGCAAACGCAGGCGCATGAGGCAGTCGTTGATACCCTGTGGCAGACAGGGCAGTCGTCCCAGAATGTCGTTCCGGATGGTAAGGACGACGCAGGCATCGTGTCGCTCTATCTTTGGGCGGCTGCTTCGGAAGGTGTAGCCGGCACCCACCTCCTCCAGTTGGCCTTCCTCGGAGAAGCGTGTCTCGCTGAGTGCAGCGATGTCCACCTTGTAGCGCGCCAGTTCTCCAGCGACCAGCTCGTCCTCCGTTCCGGCCGGTTGTTCCTCGGACTGTCTAAAAGGAAAATGAACATTCCATGCTGCCAGAGTGATCAGACTCACCTAAGGATGCAAGGGTTGTTGTCCTTTTTTGGTTTTTCGACCACGAGTTTTGATTCTACGAGCCCAGGTATACTTGCAGATGGCGAGATTTCCCAGCATTTGCTTAGGACGCCTTTTCTTGCGCCTCGCCGCGAGAGGGCAAGCAGTGCTATCCCTAAATAGGGCTGCTTCGACATCGCAGACGGCCGAGGAATTCTAACTATGGGGCACGATTTTGTTTAGGGGAGAGTGACCCGTGTTCGCCTGGACGCCTACGGTATTGCATGTCGCTCTCTCCGAAGGACTTCTTGAAGTAGAAGGGTGCAGGATTATTTTATGTGTGGGGACACAACGCAATACACCCATATTTGGTTTAACTCGCCGGTCGAATCGGTTACGGGCTGTGGCTGCTAGGCAGAGTCTTGCATCGAGGAGCCACAGATGAGAGTTGGATGCCAGTTAAGTACCATGAGGAGTAGTCACCATTTGCATGATGCGACGTACCACCCCTGCGCGGGTGCCACCTTTATAGACACACCTACATCCCCCCCCCCCGGACGTATGAAGAATGTACACCGGTTTAGGCGATCTAACCACCGCCCTTAAAAAACGCTAGTTCTTAATTGAAGCACCCCCTTCAGTTGAGGTAAGACCCGGTTACCAAGTGCTTGACAAGGACTTCGTTCCTCGCTGCTGTAGTGCCTGTTGCAGACTGTACAACAGTCACCCATAAAAAGCTTCGTTTTTTGACGAACTACTCTAGGCAAGGGTATGGTTTACGCCCGGGGTCACTTACTCCGGGAACAACTGTCTTGAGAAAAAGAGCCGAACATCGAAGAACTTCGTGGTATCATAAATTCTGATCCTCCTGGTACTGTCAGCAATCAAAACGGGACACTATTTTTACCATTTAATAATAATAATAAGTAAATTTAGTGCCCCCTTTGAGACATTTTTAAAAGGGCATTGCATTGTCGTACTTTTACTCCGACGAATACCTTAAAGTTTCTTGACCAACCTAACGCAGCAGCCACCGAGAGGTCTTTTCATTCCTTTCTCTGGCACCTACAAATAAATAGCACCAGTCATTTACTTTTAGCACAACTGCTCCCCGAAGTAAGTGACTCCAGGTGTAAAGCATAGCCTTACCCTACTCTGACCCACATCGTTTACCAACAAACACTGCAGTTTATCTGAAAGCCAGCAGGTAGTAAACGTCGTAGAAGAGAAAATACGGTCTCATTCACCATGATGCCATGCGAGATTCTCCATATAATAATGTGCAAAATTTCCAAATAGTAGGTAAACTCTTTAGAGGGACAATTTTGGTTATCATTCGGGTTAATATTTCAAGCCCTTTACCATTGTTCGTGGTAATTACCGTTGGAGTGGATCTGTGTAAGGTCACCCTCCCTGGGAGAAGATGGAACAATTGCGTTTCTAACGCAAATCACATTCAGTGCAACATCCCGTTTTCGAAAAAAAATTGGGAACGCATCTTGGGCATACATTTTTCCCCTGAGAGCGTATTTTTAGAAAAAGAGTGGGATAGTTCAACTTCAGTTCCGGGCTCTCTGAAGTTATCCGCTTAAATGTAGGTCGAATAGTCTGCGTTTTTCATCATGAAAAAATCAATGTGCACTTTATCAGTAAGTACCACGGTTTTTGCATAATGCTGCACACTTAAGACATTTGCTGAAGACAACAAGGACAACAAGGTTTTTCCCAGTGAAATGTCAGTTTCAGCTTGAAAATCAGCTTGACAAGAAGTAGGCAGAGAAGCATTTCATAGGCTGATCGCAAACCACCGTCCTCTTTCACGAACGAGGTTGACAAGCAGAACCAGCGGTCGATGCAAGCTTTAAAAACTGAAGTGAACAGTAAGCGATGAATTTGGAAGAAGTCTCCTACTGACAGGAGTTCCGCATCCATAAATGTATAACAAAATCAAAGTTGATTCAAAAGCCTTAGTATTAGAATAAGATGGGAATTCGAACTGGATCTGTTGAACTATGCCGCGGAGAACGCAAAGTTATTCTGCGACTATATTTGACAGAGCACGCGAAACGGGGATTCCATACCCCTTATTGAGGATAATTGAAGGTACAGAGCTTCGAATTTAATCACTTTTGGGTCAAGCTACCAACCAAGGTATGGAATCCACGAATTCTGACTGTCCAGGTAGAATTTTCTAAGACCTGGAATGTCCTGCCTGCGAACATCTTCGTGTCCCCATCTGCAGACGCTTTGAAGAGAAAGCTTGACCTTTACAGCCATACGCATCACCACACCATGAGAACCTAACGCAATTTTCTCCCTGTACCATCCTCCCTGACAGTTACACGTTACCTAACACGCTACTCACTACGTTCTAGTAATGATGTTCTGTATATTCTTCGTTAACCACCTCGACGCAAAACAACGCTTCGTCCGGCGCATTCTTATTGGTGTTTACTGTTCATTGACATACTACAGCACAAGTTTCGATAATGCATTTTGACAGGTCCATTATTCCTACCACACCACGCACCCATGAACGCATATTTGTAGTTTTACAACACTAGATATTGCAATTTTCCGTAGCATGGTATGTTTATTGAACAAATAGGCGGTCCAAAAGCACATGTCTATCTTTATCTCAAATAGACTGAACTGCATATTAGGCTCATTTAAAGCCACAAACCCATGGTACGAAGAAACGGCCTTACTGGCTTCCATTTTCCATCGCATAAACTGTAAGACATGTGTTGAAAATGACATTCGCACCCATTGAGTAACTGTTAACATCGGATTAGCTCTATATTTATATGTAAATATTTGTTAAATCAACAGTAACAATATAGAGGTTTCACGTTCTGGAGGGCTTGGTCTACAATAAACCTCCATTTTACTGGCGTTACTGTGCTCGAAATCGCAGTTCTGTAATGAACCTCTCGCGGCAGGTCAGCTGGAATATCACCACTTTTAATGGTTGATATACGTATCTCATCCTGTAACATGGCTCCTTTACCCCAGTATGTTTGATGAACAATAGCTGCAAATGAAACGTTGTCAAGGGTGTATTCGAATGAACGGTAAATATCTTGTTCACTTGTAATCGAAAGTGCCGGCATCTAAAGAATGTGAGAACCATCAAAAGTAAATTAAGCAAAATTCTGCTTTCTATCGTTCAAACAAAGAGTACTGTTTACTACTTGCGTACCTTCAGTAATGCATAGTATTTTACGACAAGCAACTGCAATGTGCATTTGAACCGCAGGAATTTGGACTCTGATTTCTTCAATGAACGTACAATGATGTGTTACTGCAGCTCCTTGAAATTCCATTCGGAAGTGCACTTGTAATTGTGAACTACAATATTTGGAATAGGCAGTACATATTAATTGGGCCAACTACATATTCTACAACATCCGTCAAGAAGACGTTTTGGTTCTCACGCGGACATTCTGAAATTAAAATAGCTAAAAAATGAAAAATGAATGCCAGAAAAACAATACTTCTCCTCGATTACTGCTAAGGGACTTACTCGCTGACCCAAAACATGCCCTAGATTCAGGCTATAGAAAAACAAGCAGAAACAGCAGAGGTCGCATACTGCAGTAGTCATAGTGCGTGGGGCTGTCGTTAGCTTTATAGCAACTGCAGCGAATTGGATAGTGGACTACAGAAGTCCTGTGCGTATTGTTCACATCGCATCCAGTCTGTGTGTGCGCATTCATACCCAAATACATGACCCATTTAGCCCGACAAGGAACGGTTGGTGAGTAGAAATTCGTCTCAGTGGTGGAGTAGACCCATCAGACAGATGTACGCTCTTATCAATTTTCCCAAAGTGCGGGCATGCGTATAACCGATGAAAGGTAAACTATCCAGAAATATCTATTGTCTCGCTTGTCCCCGAAGCTAGCTGCATGTCACTTTTCTGATCGACTGCTACTGTTAACTTTTGTTTTTCTCAAAAAGTTCACCCATAACCTGTTTTGGTTTGAAGTGTTTTATAGTTTAGTCTAGTGGGGAATACGACGATGCGCTGTGGGGTTTAATTTCCCAGAGTCCGCTTCATTCTCCCTATCTTACTTCATCCATTCACCAGTCGACTATTTGAGTCTGTCATCCAACTGATGACGTGATTGGAGTCAGTGTCTGGCGAGACGCGTGTTACCTCACCCCGTGTGCGGGTTCACACGGATTCAGTCTGGCCGCCTTGTGCGTCCGACGCAGCCCATTTTTGGGAACGAACGATCCACGTAATAGAACAACGAAGAGCACTGTAGAATAGCGTGATTAGCACACAATCAAGGTTGCATTTTAACCTTCGTCGAAAGCATCGGAACATCACGTCACGATCAGGCGGAGCGAGTAATATGAACTGCTATATCTGCCCTATCAATTCGCAACGAACGCTTTCTTTCGAAATTGAGAGAAAAAAAACAGTCGGAGAGCATTATGACAATTCGACCGCCGTTTCCCATGATGTCCAGCGTGTGCCCCACAGCAAGGTGGACGCATGGACGGTTACTTGCGCATGAGCTAGTTTGTAGTTATAGTGGGCTTGCGTTGTATCTGCCGCGTTCTCTCGAACTCGCCCTTCCGGGCTGGGTGTCAAGACAAAGTCAGGATGACTGGAGGCGGGATCGGGAGAAGGTGACTTGCACGGCATGAGCCCACGCCTAGGCGTGCCGCCACACCCCCTGATCAGAGCACATAGGACCAGGGTTCCACACCAGAAGGGGCGGGCGACTCGGATCCCAAATGAGTGGGGGTGGCCTTATTGCATTATGTAAAGACGTGATGAGCACATAGATGCAGTTGCATATGAACTCTCTTCGAAACGGTCCCAACACCACGAGGTGATCAGGAGGAACGAGTGCATGAACTGCGGCATCTGAGCTGCCAGTTCGCAACGAACGCATACTTTCGAAACTGGGAAAAGAACCAGTCGAAAATCACCGGACCTTTAGCACTCAACCCACGTGTATCTGTGAAACAAACACTTTTTGGCAACCTTGTATAGCTCATCAGATAGCAAGCCAACCATCTCCTGCAAATCTGCATGTCAGGCCGCAAGTACATTGCGTAACCGATCTCATGAAATGTTAGCCAAAATCCTGGAATGCGTTTCCGATTTGGGAGGATTACTTAAATGGATTTTTTATACTGATTATCCTGCAGCATAACCTTGTAACATTTCGGACTCGTCAGGATGTCAGCTTTTGAATGCACTATTTGTCGACCTCCAGCAGAAACTACACTCGGTAAAAATGACTACTTAATTAACATGCATTTTCCTATTGATTTTCGATGGTCTTGTAAATTCAAACACATCCTATAGAAAGCATGCACAAACTATGTTTTCTTCTGCTCATTTGGTGGGAAATTACATTGTCTTCATATTTTATGCCCGAAGAAAGTGTATATTTAGGTTTTAAAAAAGTTTCTAATTATGAGATTTTTAAGACTGTGCGATATCCATGCATGCCAGACCGCACATGCTCGTTTTATAATGCTCCTCATGAAATGCACAACACAGTCCGGATCCATCGGAAAATTTCATGAACTCCGTGTGGCGTATTCTTAAGGGCATAGAGGAATATATGATTGTCCTTACGGGGAAAGCATGCACCTTGTAGACTGAAATTGCTAAACGCTGATGCAATGGCGGATCAGACTAAAAATTATTCGGGAATTGGAAAACTTTTTTAAAACCTAAATATACACTTTCTTCAGGCATAAAATATAAAGGCAATGTGATTTCCGTCTAAACGAGCAGAAGAAAGCACATTTTATGTATGTTTTCCATAAAATATATTTGAATTTATAAGACCATCGAAAATCAATAGGAAAAATGCATGCTAATTAAGTAGTCATTTTTTACCGAGTGTGGTTTCTGCTGGAGGTCGAAAAGAAAAGCATTCAAAAGGTGACATCCTGACGAGTCCGAAATGTTATAGGGTTCTGCTGCATGATACTCAGTATAACAACCCCACTCAAGTAATCCTCCCTAATCGGAAACGCATTCCAGGATTGTGGCTAACATTTCATGAGATCGGTCGCGCACTGTAGGTTCCACCAACGGAAACACGAACAGAAGCTATCGTCGCGGTAGAGGGGCCGTTACGCGCTGTCCAAGGTCGTTTCCCCTACTCTGAAACCTCACTATCAAATATGGCCTCACGGATACAAAAGTATGGGATGGGGGTCTGCGACAATCCAGGCAGAAACCTGATCGAGGCCTGAACCCGTCATTGCGACTCCGGAACTTCGTGTATCCAAATATCGGGTCCCTGTCTTTCAAGCCCGATGCTTTTTCTGGCAGTCAGCGTCTCTCGATTTTCATTGAAGGACAGACACACAGCCAACCCGCTTTGCAAAACATCGGAAGCCGGGTTTTTGTTACTGTTCCCTAGATTTATGCGCGGATCCGGAATCTAAGAGTAGCAAAATAGTTGATGTACTGATCAAACCTTCACTTGCACCAAGACCCTCCTACTAGCACAATCACCTCGGGCCAACAATTTTATTACCTGAGTTTTATGTGATGGGTAAATTAGTGCTCCAGTCTGGCAGCGTTCATTTTTGCAGATTTTGGGCTTTCAGTGTCAGACAAACAGCATGAAATAAACTCTATCAGGAAGTTGAATTACAAATGGCAAATCCGACAACGAAAAAAAATTGTAACTACTGGACGGGCTGAAAAAGTCGATCTACCGATTTCAGTACTTCGATTTCAGGCCTGTCACCTGGATATCAATGATACAACAACCAACTTAAAACCCGGGGCGGTCGGTTCGAACCGGGCCGGCGACACTTGTGCTTTAAGTATGAGAGTTATTTCCTAGTGTTTTCCGCTTCCACCAAACAGACATGTTCCCAGCTTTGGAAATTCATAGAGGAGGATATAATCCACTCGATTAATCGTCACGAATTTAAAATTCAGAAGACAAAGTGGGGAGCAAACGTTGCTTTCGATAACTTCTCTTTAGGCCGGTACAGTTATATGGGAACGGGGTATAGTGACTGAAAAAATCGATAAAAGTTATTTTTCTAAATACAGGCTAGGCAAGAGCGGAAGGGCGCAGAAAGATGTATGCGGTCAGTCAACCTTTGACCCCGGTAAGCTCGGAGACCGAACGAGGTTCTCCTGGGCGCATAGGGTCGGTTTTCGTAACCTGATGGCGGCCGCTTTTGCTGTTGCTAACAGGTGCTGGCTCAGTAGCTTAGAGTAACTCGAGGGGACCTTATAAGTCGTCCAAGATGCTTCAGCGGGGTCCACACGATGCCCTGAATCCACTGCATGCGCAAGTATGGCACTGTCTATTCTCCTAGTTTCACCTTTTGCTGTATGTTGCGGCAGTTCAAAGTTTTAGAATGTTGTGGTTCACTCCTCGCTACTTCCTGGCACTTCCTGTTTTCTCCTGACGCATGCTTCTTCCCTTCCGTATGTTTTTCGATTACTTCGATTTTTGCAAGCATCCATTTTCAGATGTATGTCGTTAAATTCCATGAACGTAATGGAAGCTCGAATGGTGTACGTGGTTATTCCCTGTAATTTTTCCGTCGAAAATGTTTATTTCAGGGAGCTGTCAGATAGAGAGCTAGACATTTTAGCCACCGGACAGTTAAAAAGTCCCTGCTGGGACTTTATCTGTTCACGATCTCTGCCATGCAACAGAAGATGATCTGGTATTCTAAGCCTCGATAATTTTAAAGTTCGACTTTCTGGAAGCTTTGCATGCATAATATGTAATAGAGTAAGTATCATGTTTTGTCGGAAAGTCAATGTTTTTAAGTTCAAATAATCGCTTCCACGCATATTCCCCCGGTGAATTGTAACAGGTGGATTGGAATCAAAACGCTGAATTCTAACTAAGAGATCAGTCTGATTGTTCACTTTCAACGCTGGATGACTTTCTTTCTAGTTTTGAAGCAGCGGAGCTCGAAGCGCCTTCA